AGTTTACTTTTATAACACTATAAGGAGTAGGAGCGTAAACATGCAAGAAAAAGAAAATTAATTAAAAAGAACATTTTTTTTACTAAAGTCATTAAAACAATTTTTACAGCATCATTACTTTCAATTTTAATGCTATTATTGCTAAAAATTTAACTTCTTTTTTAATCGTAGAATAAAATGAATCTTATTTTAACTTTTTTGTTTTACTCTTGGTGTTAAAATCTTTTTTATTAAAACACTATCATCTATATTTATGTCATTTATAGTATAATGCACGCATTTTTTGTCCATGCGTGCTAAATATTTTTAATTAAATGAAATTAGACTTATATCTATCTTTTCTTCTACTATAAATTATTTTTATATATCAACTAGCTAACGCTATCCCATTTAAAACAAGACTCGAATACGATACATGCTTTCTTTGTTTAAATTATGTGTATATGCCTTTATGCATGTATGTATTGTTTTAAAATAAAACATTGCACACTTTAAATTATGAAATGACAATAGCGCACATTTTAAATTTTGAAAAATTGAATAAAATTAAAGAAAAATGCATGAAAACATTGTACTGTGATTTTAGAATTTATTTTGATACTTGTGTTATTCTTTCTTTATTAAAAATACAAAGAATTTTTCAAATTTAAAAAAAGAAGGGCTAAAAAATAAAAAATTGTTCAGATTACTTTTTCAAATATTTTTTCCCTAAGATTGTTTTAAGTTAAAATACAATTTAAGGTGAGGCAAATATGATAATATGGCAAAATGATAGCGGATTAAACATATACTCTCTAAAATTCTGATATAACTTATACACAATTTAAAACAAGATTTTATCTCAAATGATATCCTTTTATACTAATAATCCTGCCTAATATATGAAATTTGGTTGCTACTCTACTTTTATAATAAAAAGGCAGTTCGTCAAATCCATTTTAAAATTCAATTGAGAATAAAATTTTTTTCCTTCTAATAGTAAATTTTTTTGTATTATTAAAACTTTAAATAAATTTATTCACATATTAATAGTTTATTACTAATCTTATATCCTTATTTTTTTTTCAATAATAAATGCAGAACCTGGAAATTTATGTTAAATCTCGCAATAATTTTTGTAATTTCTTATCTTGTGTATTCTTTCTTTAATATATTTTAAAATGGCTAATAAAACTTTGTAAGAACAAGTTTTATAATGTAAAGGTTCCTTTTTAATTTTTATCTTTTGTGGCACTCTTAATTTCATACTTTAAAGTTCTTAAAAATCGCGATAAAATTCACTAATTTCACTAATATTACTTTCTTACACTTAACACAATAAATCTTGTCAAATAAGAATTCACCCAAACTGCAATTTTCTTTCTCTGATATAAACATCAATTTATTATTTCTAATTTTTATTCTTCCGTTTTTATGATAAGTATTTATTTAAGTTTAAACAAGAAATTCGCTTTTTAAGAAAATTTATTCATTATTATTTTCTAATACGTATAATTTAACTATTTATTTTTAAATGGACCATTAAATTTGCTGTAATTTTAACAATCTCATTACATCTTTTCACTTGATCGTAAGCAAACTTGGCTACGATACACATATCTTTTATAACTTTAAAAATTAATCTCCTCACAACTATGCCATTTAAAAATTTTCTAGAAACTCTTGATTTCAGTTAAAATGTAAGATAACCGTGATTGATTTTGCCACGCAATTCAATTTCATTAAATCTTAATGGAAGTTATAAACAAATTTTTATTTTCTTTTTTGAGTTTTAAATTATTTATTTTGCCTTTTCTTATTGAAAAAATAGATTTCCTTACTGTTTTACTTTAATTATTATGAAATGTAGGCCAGTTGCTATTAAAGATAAAGTTTCCCCGTTTCAATTCTCATTTTCGTAATTTCTATTATCAAAAAAATAGTCCTTAAAGTTATTGTTCTGTTTTTTTTCCATATAAATAACATTCTTCATATTCTGTAGGAAAATCAAAGAGGTATTAGCATCAACAATCAAATCTTGTTCAAAAGTAATTTTTCTGTTTGCCCACTGACAAAAAAAATTTTTTGGATTTCTTTTTTAAAAAATATAATTGCTATAACAAAAGTTATAAGATCTATAATAAATTGTATAAGATCTTCCAAACAGTTTTGCCTTATAAAAACTATTTCTTATTCATAGTATTAGATGTTTTTAAATTGGAAGTTAAATATTTATAAATTAAATTTATCATTTTACTAGATAGAAAAATTTTCAATTTATAAAAGTTAAAATGACGTATTTTAAAAAAACCGTCTTGTCTCTAGATATAGCTTTAAAGTAATCTTAGCTTAAGGCTTTAATAGCCGTCTCTACTAAATTTAATGAGTTTGTGATGTTACAGCCACCGAAGATATTTCAAGTCAAATAATTTATAAGAAAATAATTGTTCTTCTTCTTAATTAAAAATATTAAATGAAAATAAATATTTATAACAAAAGATATAATGAATGACATATGGTTAATAATACCACACTTTTCTTTTTGTTCATCTGCTACTTCCCCATTTACATCTTTCTTATCTTTCACTTCATCAACGTAGTTTCTACTCAAGTAGTCTACGCGGAGTATTTCACTATCTTTCTTATACTCTAGTTTCATAATTAAAATTTGATAGCTAGCCAACCATTTTTGTATCCTAAGAAGCTCTATTTCGCCCGAATTCAAGCATTCTAGCGCCTTGTGACCAGTAATTAATTTAGATATGGTGCCATATACAATATGCTTAAAATATTTCATAGACCATAACATTGCTAAACATTTCATTTAACTTGTAAAATAATTTGCCTCTTGCTGCATAAATTTCCTCGAAGCAAATTGTCGAGTTTTATAAGTAGGATTGTTTATTTGAATTGTGTCTGTCTAATTTCATATTGTTCCTTCCTTAAATTATCAGTTAGAAATGTATTTATAGTAATAAATAGATTAAAATAAACAAACAATTGCTAGATGAAAGTGCTGAAACTGAATGCATAAGATTTAGATAGAAAAAGTATAGTGTAAACGGATTGGGTGTAAACAAATAAATTAAAAATGTGATCATGTGCTAGTTTGATCATTACATAAATGCAACTGGTTTATCTATAATATCATATTTCTATGACAATATTCCTGCAATTCCCGTTTTTAGGCTCCTGTTTCCAATATAAACGGCTGTAAGAAGTCGAGTCGGAATATACTAACTGATATTTTTAGTCCTCTTTTTGGCTTTAGGAATGCTCTTTTATGTTTTTCTTTCCAGACAATTTTAACATCCAATTTTATTAAATCAAACAGCAGGCAGACTATCATCGAAAAATTTTTTATAAATTTTCAGTAATAATTTATTATTCCAAGAATTCCTACAGTTTCTTTTTGTCATCAGGACTTCCTATTGTCCTGTAGTACAGGCACTGTATTGTTTTAAAATAAAATTCTACTATACCTTAATAAATGTTCTTTATATTATTGCATCGTCATTTATATCCTTATGGTTTTCTACATGACTCCTAATAAACATTTCTTTGTTCATTCTCTTCCCTTCCATAAATTTTATTAATAATTTTTTTTAAAAATTTAAAAAAAAAGTATAATTTTTGTACTTTGTTTTAAAATAACTTTTTGTAAAATCTACTAAAGAATTAATAAAAATTTTATCTTTTGACAGGTGTCTTGTAAATTAATTAATGTTGTGATACTAATATATCACACTGCGCCTCACCTATAATTTTAAATTTTTTACGTGCGTCCATTCTTCATTGTCTAATTTATACCATGCCATATTTTTCCGTATTTCCATTGTTTTGAATGGTCCACAATATCTCTTCTTCAGTTTGTTTGGCTTTAATTCTTTTTGTACATGCAATCTCCTAGATTAATTCCTGTTTCCATGATCTTTTTTAAGCTGTTTTTATTTCTTAAACTACGTCTAGTTCTTTTCTCAGATTAAATAAATTATAACCCGTAAAAAGAGTTCTCGGTGCATTTTTTATACTAAAATTGTAGTTTTCATGAATCCTAAGTACACCCTTCTTCTTATATCTTTTATATCTTTATCTTTTTCATTCTTAATACTTCTAAAATTGTTCCTTTTATTTTCTCCGATATAGCATTCGATTCTAAGGTGTAAGCAAAAATAACTTATATGCTACTGTTAATCTTTTTTAAATTGTTAATTAGTTATTTATGGAGAGGTAGTATGTGGTATAATTTAACACATGTAAATTATTTTAATTTATCTTACTATAAATATTTATTTTATTCATCAAGATTACAAAAGAACAAAAAATTATTAAATACATTTTTGACTTACAATATTTTCAGTGGCTGTTATATACCACACTTAATATTATCAATTACTTGCATCTTCTTCATCTTCGATTCACCTTTGTCAAAAATAATAATATGTCCACAAACTCTACTTTGAATTGCTTTAATGCGGTTTTTTTTAATCTTTAAACTACATTTCTTTAATCTTTTCATTATCTTCTCATAACCTCACCTGACCCTTATCATCATCTCCAAGTGTTAGTATATCATCTAAAAATACAGAAAAAGCATTTTACTATTAATTCTTCAAATACACTATCCATAAATCTTTGAAATACCCCAGGTTAGTTTTTGAATTCATTGGCATCATTGTCCATCTATATAATCTATGTTTGTATTTTAAAGCTATTTTATGTATATCTTTTTTTGCTAGTAAGATTCAAAAGAATCAGTCTTCTATATTTAGTTTTGTAAAGATTCTTTTTCCTTTAAATTAAAAGTATCTCATTTATGCTAGGTAGCAAATACAATTAAACTTCACTAATTTGTAGTAACTCTTACATCAACATTTGGTTTTATTACAGGCCAAATATTGTTTATTTATGTTAATTTTGGCTTTTGCATATATTTTTCTCCATTAATTTTATCATTACTCTACTAATTCCAACTTGTAGCTTCTTAGGTAAACTGTGTATTCTATTACGACTATTTTGTCAGGTTCGGTGTTTAGTTCACATTCATACTCGTTCTTAAAATTTTCAACATAGTTTTTAAAGACACTCCTCCAATTAGAATTTTTCTCTTTCAACTTTAGGGAATGTGAAATTTTATTTTATAATTTACGTTTCTATGTATCATATCTACTATATTGTGCTCTACACACTCGAACTTTTCATCTAAACATCTAAAAAGCTTTATTGATTTTGTGTGTTTTTAACCAGAGCTTTTGACTATATGTCTGCTAATAAAATTACTTTTTATTTGAGTCAAAAACAGCCGTAATTTTTGTTATATAAAATAAATTAAACTTTATTATATTTTTAGAATGTCATTTATGTCGTTTTTTCCCCCTTTACTCCATTAACATCCGCCTTCTTATAAAAGTAAACTTATTTGTCACTTGACAATTTCTTGCAATATGGCCCTCCTTCTTAACAAAAAGCCCTACTATCGATCCTGACACTGGCCTTTTTTTATTTATAAAGGATCCATTCTTTTTAACAACAATTTCACTAAGCTTTTTCGTTTCAGTCTCACAAAAGTCTTACGGTGGTTAATTCTATCAAAAGAGTCTTCATTGATATCATAATTTCTCAGAAAGTGAGCTTTTATTTCGTCTAGTTCCTTTTTCAACCCTGCCACAATAATTTTAGCTAGTTATTTACTGGTAATTAAACAATCTTTATTATTTTTCCTCATTCTTTTAATAAATTCGTAAACTCCCCCTTCCAGCTCCTGTTTCAACCTAGATATTTCCTAACTTGGTCTGTTTCTTTCCAAATTCTACCATTGCAATTTCTTTCCTCATTGCAAAAGAAAAACATCTTTTCATTTTTCTTTCATTATATCATGGTACCAGTTAACGTTCTCGTAATCGACTCTTCATAGGATGCAATCTAGTTTCTCATCTTCTGCCATTTTTTTCCCAGAATGATATAAACTCAATCTCCACGTTTTCTTTCAATATGGGATTCCTTGCCTATTCTACTTTTCACAATGTAAAATTTGTATTCTCCGTCATTTTGTTTGGTTCGTTTATTTCACTTATACAAACTTAAAGTTATAAAATATATCAACAATAATGTTACGTCTCTCATATTTGCCTTCGTCATTATCTTTCTCTCGTTCTAAGTACCAATATTTACCTTTTTTGTATACTCTAGTTTTCAAGTATATTAGAAAAAGGCATTATCGATTTCAAATCTTTTCCATGATTTTTTTCACTTCTTTTTTATTATATTAATCGTATTTGCGTTCGTCACAAAAATTATAAATTTTTAAATTTGCAACATTTTTTTTTAAAGAATTATTTATCAGTTTGTAAATGGTGTCAGTAAACTACCCAAATATTAAACTTAAAGCAAAACAATCAAATATGAAACAGGACTCTGAAACACAAACGTTTCAGAATGAGAATAAAATCATTTAAGCAAGTTTAATAAATAAAAATCCAAGTCTCCTATAATCAAACCATCCCCTTCAAGAACAATGGTAGTAACACAGTTTATTCTCTAATTCGTTCAAATAGTTATAAACCATATCAAAATCTTTGTACTTTATATTTTTTGCAAATAAGCTTTGGAATAGCATTAGGATTTTTAAAATTCCCTTAATTTTTATGTATACTTCTTTTGTGAAATTTTTAAAATAATGCTATAAACTTTAGACATCCTTCAATTTCTTGTAGATATTCTTTTATAGTGCCATAATTTAAATGATAAACTTCTCTAACTTCTTAGCAATAAGAAAATTACGATTTAGGAACTTTTTATTAATTAAGTATCCTTTTAAACTTTCATATGATTTTTCAAATATCTAAGTCTTGTAAAATATTCTAGAATACTAAACTTACTGTGCTTTGTTTTTAATTGTTTTATATTTCCAAATTTCTTTACCATTCTAATAAATCAATAGTTGAAATATCTGTAAAAATTTCTAAGGGTTTTGATTATTTAATTGTTTGTTGTAGAATAAGAATTTCAAAATTATAAATTTAGTTTTACGTATGTCATTTTTATTGCTTTCTAGTTTAATGCTTTATCTTCGATTTTCTTAATTGAATTCATCTTGCTGCACTCTCGCAGAGCTAACTGGATTTAAAATAAATTCTAGACAATTTTTTTTTTTGCCACCAATGACTCCAGTGGCACAATAATTCAGCTTAAGGTAAAATATTATGAAATAAAACCAAGCTCTAAAACACAACAGGTTTTAGGTAAAATTTAGTCTATAAAAGAAATTAAATGTAAATAAATATGCTAAGTAAAAAGCTATGGTATCCCTTTCATTTTTATTATTTAAATATAAAAAAAAAGAATTTTATTTTTTAAATGAAAGTCTTAAAAATAAGGGTATGGTGTTTTACGAAAAGAGCTTAGAATCAACAAAAAGAGGCACAAGTAAGACTTTATAAATTATTTACAAAAAAAGCTAAATTTGTATATTATTTGCGAGGCAGTTTTGTTACACCAACCTCACCTGAGATTATGCCGAAAGCCCGAGTCTTTTTGCAGAAAATATTCACCTTACGGTTCTAAAGGAAGTATTGACAGTTTTCTTTAAAAAGTGATGTAATAACTGCTCTTTTTAATCGTTTTATTCATGTTGTGTTGCATATCCTTTTTTTTCTCATTCGTATCCTTTCTTTTGTTTTAATTTTTATATTTTTTAATTAAATTTAAATATTGGAAAAAAAATTATTATAAGAATAAAGTATGAGAATGTAGTAAAATATCGCATTATTAAGATCTAAATAAAGGTAAAAAAATAACTTGTTACAAAATTTATATAAACATGCTCATGTAGATGGTATTGCTGTATACACTACATTGTAAAAGGTTGTAATATTCTATATCACATAAAAAATTGTTGTGTATCAATAAAAAATATATTTGTTGTAGTCATAATGACCAATCACGTGTTTCAAATGCCCATACGTTAAAACACAAATAAAGCCAGATTATCCTAAACATAGTTTAAACGTAACCATTAAAAGAAATAATTAACTATGAAGATGCAATTTTTTACCAACTTGTTGGCGACTTCCAACAATATTATTAGCATACTGGAATACATTTTTTATCACATTTATTATCTAAATTTTCAAATAAATTTTGCTTTACCGTGAGTTATTTGTTCTTTCTACGGTAAAGTATATTGTTCTAATAATAAGAATAGTTAAAAAATAATTTAATTTTAAATATTAGTATAATTACTTAGTATATGCATTTATTCTTCAGTAAGTGCTTGCTTATCGATTGGCTTAATCCCTTTTTGCTGTTAGCGCGGAACATTTTAACACCATTTTCAAGTATAAAACTTCCTCTGCTTCTTTCCATAGTTAAGATTTCAATATTTACCTGAAGTACTTTATACTGAATATATGCTTGAGGATAATTATACTTTTAAATTATTTTTTTTAATTTATTAAAAGATAATACGGATGTAAGTTTTGTTATAAAATGCAAAAAAGTCTTATCAATTAGAAATGTTGTGATATTATAACCACATGTAAAAATAAAAAAAAATAAAAAATTAACTTTTTATAAAAAAAATTTATATAAATATTTAACCCCAAAAAAGTGATATAGAGAAGTAGTATGCATAGGAGGAACAAAAAGTATTAAATTTTATTTTATAAAAACAAATTTAATTGTTAAATAACAAACCAGAAGAGACATATATTAAAAGCGTAATAGAACGCTGCTTAAAATCTGGAAGCATTTCCAGATATAACCTCAAATATATATAATTTATTAGTTGAATTCTCTACGTTCATATTCTTTATCAATACTATCCATAATGTCTTTTAAAGGGGAAATTAACCATTTAACGTTTGTAGACAAATATGTCATAGAATTGAAAAACAAAAGTAAATTACGATTCATCTCAACTAAAAAATACCGAGGGCGCTCTAATCTTTCAATAAGCATGTTTATAATTACAACCGTACATTCTAGTTGTACAGTTTGTGAAATATTTGTTATTCTTTGTGAGATATCTTTACATTCATTGTAAATAAATTTTAAATTCCTTTTTTGTAGGTTAGTAGTTAAAGTAAAAGACAAAAGATATTTTAACACTTCTTTTAAAAACATATTGCATTCTACTATTAATTCTTTTATAGATTCACATGAAGATTCTTTAAAAATAGAATCTTCTTCTATCTTTTTTATTTGAAATTCAATACTCTTATTTAAATTTTTTTTTCTAATATAATAGAGCCTTTTGGCCTTTGATAACTTATATATAAATTTTTGGTCTATATTTCCAAGAAAGAAATCTTTTTTTGAAATCAAAATTTGCTCATTTTTGGCTCTGTCAAATGCGGATTTTAATTGACTAAGAACCCCCCTACAAAAATCCACAAATATGTCTAAATTTGGCAATTGTTTGTTATTGGGTTGTACTCTTCCATTTTGAAATACAAGATTGTAATTTAATACTTTTTTAGAAACCAGATATCTAGTAAATTTTTCGATATAAGCATAATAAAACTTATTCATTAAGTCTATTTTATCTTTATATGTTGTAATCTCTTTACATTTTATATTTTTACTTTGGTCATTAACATCTTTATCAGAGTTTAAAACTTCATCACATTGTTTTTGGAATTCAAAGCCGTTAGACGCATGATTATTATAAATACTAAAACTATTTTGAAAACTATCTTCCGAATGCCTTGCATCTTCAGAAATTACACACTTACTATTATCGTCCATTATAAGTTTTTTTATAACAGAGGTATCTAGAGTTTCATTATTCCTATCTTTAAAACACTGAGAATTCATTGTATAAAAAATGGGACTATAAGAGGCAGAGCCTAGTCTATTTTTATATTGTAATTCTTCTTCTAAATCTAGAGCATTTTCAATAATCTCTGCTAATTCAAAATCTTCTTGTTCCAAAAATTGATTTGTGTCATCGCTGTTATTTGAAGTTTGATTATATTGATATTTATTTTTTGCGCTACTTTCATTCATATTACTTACGACAGATTCCATAGTACTGATAAAATCATTATTTGTTGAATTATATATGCCTGTAAAAAAATAAAAGAAACTGAACATTTTAGGGATATATTTTTAATTTAAATTTTTATATTTTTAAAAAATCTATAATTAAACAGATTAAGATCTTAAACAACTTTTTATAAAAAAATAGAATAAACGTTTATGATTCATTAAAGCAATCTTTGTGCCATGGTGGGAGTTAGCATTTAATTTATCAGTAAATCTGTATTTATTTACTTGGTTTTATATCTGAAAGCAAATTTTTGTTATTTTAACATTATAAATGTTTGATCTATTTTTCATTAAATTTAATATATATTTGATCATTCGGCTGGCATAAACTTTTAGAAAAATAAACAAAATTTAAAAAATAAATAAGTAAAAATATTTATAATTAAACAAGAATTTAGAAAAATCCTTACAGAAGTAAAATTTGAAAATAACTGTGTCACTTTAAGACACTTCATAAACACAAAGAGATAAAGTATCAAAAAGCTATAATATAGTTTTTTTATTATTACTTTATCTTTCTAATTTCATTATTTAACATTTGTTTGTTAATTATTTTATAGTTTTTAACTTAAAAAAGTAAAGTATTAACGATATAATTACTAAACGTTCTTGTTATGAACTTTTAAAACAAATGTATAATTTATTATTTTAATAATCATCTATATATCTACTATATGATAAAAAGATAAGGAAAGTTTAATTTAATTTTTTTCCCTTCGATTTTAAATTTTGCCAATTTTTTTTTAAAATTTGTTACTTTTATTTTAATTTTTTATTTAAAAGCAGACACACATAAAGTGTCAAAGGACAGTTCTAAATGTATTTAGAGGCACCCTTTGCTTAACCAACGGGAATAACAACTTGACAGGACATTGAAGTTATTATTTACATTAAGATATATGATAGGTAGATAAAAGAGAATTCATAACATTTAAAATAACATTATTATGTAGAACTTGCATTGTAGTATAACAAGTCGTTGCCATGTCAAAAACATTAAAAGTTAAATTTAAATATAAAAAAAAATTACCCCTTGGGGATGAAACTATGAAAGAACTTTAATTTCGCCTGTTTTTGACGAAAATTTTTTTTTAACCCACAAGCCATGACCAAAAAAATAAACAAGTTGGAATTCAAATTTGGAAAGTTAGTGATTGAGTGTGAAGGCTATCTTTACAATGCCGATGGTGTCGCAAAAAAAGGCCTTAAAGGCGTTATACTCATAGGAAAGGTTGTAAAGGAAAATTATTACAGATGTTGATTTTAAATTTTAAAGTTCTGTAGATCATCATACTCATGAACAAAATGATTGTATATTAATGAAAAAACAGATGTCTAATATGGTTAAAAAGCAAGCATCTGCTACAAATGAGCCAACAAAAGATATTTTAGCTCGTTTTTTTTGAAGATCTTGGCTTATACTTTCTTATAAAGTTACGAAAAAATAAAACACTGAGCAATTTAATTTCTCACACTCGTAAAAAACAATTGAAAAAGCCAGGAAATGTTTGTCGTAATTGCTTTTATTTAGTTTTTCTATCTTCTCCTCGTAAATAGTTATTATATATTTTATAGCTAATAAAATTGCACCTTTAATTATAAGGTGGTTGAAAAGTTATTACAGTATTTACGATGATATTCCTAATAAGTACAAAAAACTGTAAATAGTGACGATTTTCTTTTACATGACTCTGGCTACAATGATCCTAACAGAATTCTTTTCTTCGGCACTCGAGAAAATCTTTTAATACTGAAAGAATGGTAATATTGGATTATGGATAGAACATTTATTGTTACATCTACAGATTTTGAACAGTTATATGTTATACAATCTAATGTGTTAACGGTTAATATTAGTTTATTATATATATTAATGAAACATAGAACACCATTAAATTATGATAATGTCTTTTATAATTTAAAAAAGTTAATTAATTGGAATATGCATAAATAAATTATTATTGATTTTGTGGTGGCAGTAATTACACCACTTAAAGATGCTTTTCCAACTACTAAAATTAGAGGTTGCGCATTTTACTTTAGTTAAGGCATATGGCGAAACGTATGTGGATTAGGTTTAATCAGGGAATACAAAAAAAATCAATTTATTTTTAGAATGTTTTTACAACTTGCCTTTGTGCCTTATAATAACGTTAAACTTGAATTTAACAAGATTGTAACTTGGATTATTAATGAAAATAAATATTAAGAACCAAAATTATTTTGAGAAAACTTTTATAGTAATAGATTGTTTTGATAATAGTAACTGTTGGGATAAAACATGGGTTTATTTAATAATTATTATTTATATAACAGACATATCAAATCCATTAACCCAATACTGCTGATTGACATGTCTACATCCTTACTGTCCTGTGCTACTTCCTCTTTTAAACTTTTAACATGATTTTTGCTTGCAACTATTGTTCTACCGTCTTCTAACCTTACTTTATAGGAATTAAACTTAATTTCAACTATTATACCTTTCTCCTGCCGTTTTGGCTCCAATTTACCTTCTTGTGGGTTAATAGCTCTATACCAGACTTTATCCCCAACCTTTGGTTTATTATTTTCAGAAATTTTAGATGTTTCACCACAGCCATATTCTAAACGATATTTCCTAAGATTTTCTCTTGCTTCACACTGATAATATTTCTTGTCCTTGCCTGCTTTAACACTGTCTTGTTCATCCATATAATTCGTACTTCTTCACTTGTGTATCTCTATTGGTGCACATCCTATACTTCGGTGATAAGACCACATATATGCTTTATTTGCTTTCTTTGTACATTTGGCTCAATCGTATTTCCCAAATTCTGTTAGCTTTCGTAATTTTGCTAAAAATGTTCTGTTAAAACGTTCTACAAGACCTGTTGTCGTTGGTTTGTAAGGGGATCCAAATTTCCAGACAAGTTTCTTTTCCTTAGCAAATCTTTCACATATTTTATTCTTAAATTCTCTTTCATTATCTGTTAGAATTGCCTTCAGGACTTCGTATTTTTTACAATTCGGATTTCTATTAATTGAATTACCGTGTTCATATCTTTCGTGTATACCGGCACTACTTCCGCTGTCTTAGAAAAGTGATCTATCATTGTAATTAAAAATCTAAAGCCGTCTTCGCTCTCTCGAAATGGTCCCACCATGTCTATTTCCCAAACGTCACCTATCTGGTTAACTGTAAGCGGAGTAATGTCTTTATATTTTGACATTGGGCTTTCCATTTGGCATATATAGCACTTATCTACGTAACTGTCTATGTCACTGTTCATTTTGCCCCACCGGTATTTTCCATTTATATTATATTTCATGTTCTGCTTAGATCCATGACCCAAAAATCATGGTAAAATTTTATAAGTTCCTAACCTCTTTGTCTAGTTACTTCTATTTTTTTTCTTTCCTCATGCTCTTGGATAGCAAATATCAACTTATTGTGTCTTTAAATTCTCGACTCAAGTGATCTGCACTATTTGTTTCTCCTACGACGTGCCGTATCTCAAAATCAAACTCTTGTAGTAGTAGCAACCATCTTTCCAGTTTCGCTTTGATGTTTCTTGATTTGAATAAGTATTTTAATGCTTGATTGTCAGTTTTCAGAATAAATTTTCTTAACAGCAGATATTCTCTGAAATGGTCACAGGCTTTTATAACCGCAAAAAGCTCGTGTTCCGTTGTATAATAATTTCTTTCCGCCGATAAATGCAATGAGCTATAAAAAGAAACAACGCGTTCTTCCCCATTTATTGATTGTCGCGGCCCAAAGCGCAACCATGCTTTTTCTTTATTTTTTTAAACTCAAACCTACATTTCATCTTTGTGTTGATTGAGATCTTTGCATTATATCTTATATCATTTGTATAATCATTAGTAGATAGTAATGTTATGTTATAGATAGAAAGTCGTTTTTCTGTTTTTTTACGATTTTCATTGTACCACACACACCACACAACAAATTAATCAATACAGATAGATACATACATATATTTTATAGAATTACTACCTGTCAGCTTTTTACGAACGCAAGACACATTTTTCTTCAAAAATTTAAATAAAGGCTTGTTTAGATATCTTTGTACAGGCCATCATGGAAATTAAACACGCAACAATGGAAAAGTTTTTTTTGAAATAACAACTTGAACATAGTTATTAACTAATCTGCTTTTCATTTTATAAAAGTTAATATACATGAAAATTTTTAAGTTTTTAAAGTATTTTAAATAACCCTTATGAGGCTTACTATCAAATCGCAAGAAGAATATGATAACATCGTAAATATTCTTAAAGGCGAGGATACGACGGTAGATGGCAACAAACATACTAAGTATCGTTTAAAAAGGAAGGTTGGGCCGTTTATCTTGATAAATAATTTACTTTATCTGAAAGATGCATAAAATGGTCATAATCGGGTATTTGTAAAAAGAACAGTCTTTTTGTAAAAGTAGAAGTACAAAACTGCACAACCAAAACCATTATGGTCAAAATCGTCTTTACGAGTTGTGCAAACAGCTCTTTTTTTTGATTCCCAGATTTGTCATTAGGGAAGTTTGTAAAGAGTGAAATGTTTGGTTTGCAAGCTCAACCCCTTAAGATAAAGGAAAAGTTTAAGTATATTCTGGCTAAGAAGCCTTTTGAAAGGTTAATCATTGATCTTGTTGATATGAAGACTTACGCAGAACAAAATGATGGTTTTTGTTGGATACTTACGGGTATAAATGTATTTTTAAATATACATAAATTATGCCCTCAAAAGTAAAACTGCAGCCAAGGTTCTTTCATATCTTAAAATGGCTTTTTATAAACTTGGTGATCCTCAAATAATTCAATGTGATAACGAAAAAGAATTTAGAAATTTTTGTTTGATTGATTTTTGTAAGGAAAAAAACATTGTTCTGATACATGGAAGGCCGGGACATTCACAAAGCCAAGGTCAAATCGAACGATTTAATTTAGCGCTAACACGTTATTTGCAAAAGCATCTGTGTGATGGTGTGTTTACTGCCGGCAAAAACTGGCTGGAAATTTTAGATAAGAAGACTTATGAGTACAATGTGGCGATACATTCTGCAACCAATAAGTCCCATTTAATTTATTTTTTGGTAGAAGCGAGTTCACTACTATAACACGTCCTATAGATAGTAACATATTTATCCGGATAAGAATCATATTGATATACAATATATTTGAAAAAAAAGAATATTTTTTGGAACTTTATGTAAGTCAAGTTATGGTAAAACTTGATTTGTTTTTGCTGTAAATTTTTTTAATGTACGTTTTTACAGCGTATTTGGTTCTTTTTTTTTCTTTACATTAAACGATAAATTTTAAAAATTGTTTAAAAAAAAGGAATATTTTTATTTTAATATTTAGTATAATTTCCTTTTGCTCTAAAACATGCTAAAGATTTTTTGTAAAAGCCTAAAGCCAATTTTTGACACAATTTCAATGAGAAATTTGCTGCCATTTACGTAATATTATTTCTTTCAATTCATTTAAATTTTTAGAGCGATATTGTGATAATTTTTGCTTTATAATAGCCCAAAGTGTCTCAATTGGAGTTAAATCTGGAGATTGTGCAGGCCAAGAAAGAAGTTTAAATTGTTTTGACTTGAAATACAGCTTTGCAGCATGCTTGGGATAATTGTCTTGTTGAAAAATGTAATCTTGCAGACCCATTAATCTAGCCGAATCAGGTAAATTATTAGATAAAACATACTTAGTATTCAGCATTCATTTTACCTTCAATAAAAACAAGTTTTCCTACACCAAAATATGAAGAGCATCACCATACCATTACTGATCTTTAACATTCTTTACAGATGCAGACAAATTACATGTGTTATGGCCTGCAGAAGCTTCACGCCACACAGAATCTTTACCATTAGAGCAAAAAAGGTTGAACTTGCTCTCATCTGAAAAAATTATCTCTTTGTCTCATTATGTGATAATAGTAAAAATTGTCTACTTTTCTCAAACCGGATCAAAATGTTTTTTTTGAAAAGGAATGATTTTTTTATTGGTGTAAAAGCTCTAATATTATAATCATTAAGTGTCTTTTTTATAGTTGAATAAGAAACCTTTCGATTGGTCTTCGCTTGCAGTTCAATAGATAGTTTTCTTAATGATGTTTTAGGTTTTTTTATTAATTTTAATTATAGCTGTAACATCATTGGCTTGTAACTTCTTTTTCCCGCCAGCCCTTTTAGATCGTTCAACTGTGCCTTTTTCTTCCATATTTTTTACAATTTTAGATACTGTACTTTGTGAAATCTTGATTTTCTTGCGACTTTGACCTGAGGCATTTTTGGTTGGAAAGCAAAATAATTTCAATTTTGTCTTTAAAAGTCAACAGCATATAGGGTTGGTTTTTTAAAGTATAAAAGAATGTATTTTTTGCCGGAAAAATTGTAGGTTTGAATCAAAAATTATAATATTCCTTTTTTTTAAAAAAGAAAATAATTAAAGTTCTAGCGTCAAAAAAGCTGTAAAATTTTGAAAAGTTGTAGTGCAAAATTGTCTTAATAAGTCGAAACAATAGTTATTTATCAAAAAAATCTTTACTTGTAAAAAAATATTTCTTTTTTTTGAAACAAACTGTACAACTTAAAAATATTAAAGAGGATGATATAAAGTCATTGATACAATTTAAGCTAATCAAAAATATCTAGCACGCATGGACAGAAAATGCATGCATAATTCTATTAATGACATAAATATGGATGACAATATTCTGATAAAAAAAGGTTTTGATATAAATAGTAAAACAAAGAAGTTAAAATTAGACACATTTTATTCTACACTTAGAAAAGTAACTAAATTCTATCAAATAATCGTACTAAAGTTGAAAATAGTGGTATTGAAGAAATTGTATCAATAAGCCTAGTGAAAAAAATAAATTCTTTTGATTAATTTTCTATTTTTTTACTTGTTTACGTTCTTAATCCCCGTTTGATTATAAAAGTAATCTAATATAGATTTGATATGCCAATCACTCTGTATATAACACATAGTTATAGCATCGTATAATTTTAATTTTTTATTTAAAATAAATATATTTTTAGTAAATTTTTTAATTACAAGTTTAAAGTTTTTATAATAATTTTTTTAATTTAAATTTAAAGATGCATCTCAATTCTTTTAAAATTAAAACTTTTAAATAAAAAATTTAAAATATTATTTTTTTTAAAAAACTTCGTTTTCCAATAAAATTTGTTTTTTCTTAAATTAATTTTTTCTGTTAATTAACTATGATTTCAATTAATTATATTAAAATGACAAAATTATACTTAAAAAAAAGCAAATATAAGGCCACACTAAAAAAGAAATTGAAAAAAAGTATATAGATGCTTTCAGATAAATAATTTTATGGATTATTTATTTAAAATAGAGCAACGATATAATTTTAAACATGGTCACTCTCTATGCAAGGTCGCTCTCTGGAGCCGTGACAATAAATAGAAAAGCATTGCTTATAGTAGGATGCTTAAAACTCTCTTATTAACATTTCTTGAGAGTATAAAAAATAATTGTAATGAGGTAGATTTTAATTTAAATTATATTTTTAAGAAGATAATGCATCTTGCCATCGAGCTTGTGCAACTAAGATATAGTTTTAAAATAATAATATTGATTGCATGGACTTGTAGATAAAATAAAGAAAGAAATTACAATAGTAGAAGTTAACCACGTGTTTTGAAAACCCTACACTGTTGAAACGGAGAAAAAACATAAATTCTAGCAAACCATACAACCTCAATGCGTAAGTTAAGTCTAAAATTATCCCCTATGTGATGACGTGGGATGGTATAGTAACAAATCATCACCCCCTATATGCAAACGACCTAGGATTGGAGTTTTGAACAGAGGCATATATACAAACAAGAGTTTTTAAGATGACACTGTAAAGCCTAGCTATAGCCAGTCGCCGAAGCCCCGACATTTATCTGGGGTTAGAAGTAGGTATTGAAAAGGAAAACTTTAAGATGATGGACTCGGGATTAGAAGTTTCGAAGACGGCCTGTAATGAATAAAAACAAGAAAACTTATATATATACCCCAAGAAATATATCTTTTTTCATTGCGTGGACTACCGTCATTAAGTCCAAATCTGAATCCTCTTGTAATTTATCGGCAGATATGTCAAAAATATTTTATAAAAATGGAAAACAATTTAGTAATATTCAAAATTTGCATTCTGCGATATTAGTAGCCTAATCAAGTTTTACATCCGAAAATCTGTTAAAATATGTCATTAGAATGCAGAAGAGGATGATTGATGTTGTTAAAAAAAGAGGTGATAAAATCAATAAATAATTTTTATTTTTTTTAAAAAAGCCTCAAAACCATCATATTCCTTAGATACATTAAAAAGCTTAAAACAACTTTTCTAAATCAAAAAACATTAAATAACAGATATTATTTTTTTAAGTATGTGTTTGTATTTTAAAGTTTGAGTTAAATTTGACATTTCGTTTTAATTGTAAGACTAATTATTTTTTTAAACGTTTTGTAGTAGCTTATATTAAAAAAATAAAATCATACAGTACTTTATTGCAACAAAAATAAAACTAATGTATTATTTACTGCCGTGCTTTGAAAAATAAGAATAACGCGTTTGTAGATTTGTTAAGCGGTTTATTCGTTTCCATTTTTGATTTCTCAAGCAGCAATTCTTTTATATATTTTTTAAAATTGATTAAACAAACAAATCAGTGAAAATAAAGAAAGACAAAAAGTATTAGAACGTGTCAACATAGTAAAGTAGGATAAAATCGTTTAATGGTTTGTTTGGACAAACTTACTGTAATGATTAAATAAACAATCTATTTGATGTAGTTAGTTCAATATACGAACTAAGATACTATGAAACTAAACGTGTAAATAAAAATTTAATTAAGCTCATGTAGAAAACATTTTAGAAAGTTTTTACCAACATAGCCAGTCACAATTTTTTTTAATATTTTTTTTTTATATTTTTTTACTATATTTTTTAATTTATTATAAAAAAATTATAAAAATGTTTTTATAAAAAAAGAATTCAAGGAAGTGTGAGCAACTATAATAAAATTACTTGTAGTAATATCTACCATTACCACACTTATTCTATTTGTTTTCTTTGTTTATTTTTAATATATTCTTTGTTTATATTGTTGCATGTCGTGAGTAATGTTATTATTGTCATAACCTTTGTGCTATGACAAAAAATTGTATAAATTATTTATTTTAGTTTTAAAAACTCACAATCGCATTTTAAAAAAAAATCATAAAAATAAAAACTTTAAGGAAGGAGATCAAAAAATGAATAATAGGAGGAGAAAATGGTATAGCGCGGGAATTGGTACAGCCCAGAGTGTGGATTAAGGTAGAAATCAAAAAGTAATAAAATAATGATTGTAAAATTTATGTATTTTTGAAAAATATTTTAAAAGCAGGGCGTATCCCCGCGGGCACCACATTATTAAACAAATAAAACTATATAAGAAAAAAATGAATAGTTAAAATCGATTTAGCATACCAACAAGGCGGAAGAGCAAACAATAGGATTTATCACGATTAAACATTATTAAATTTCCTTTATCTTAAAATTATATCAATATTACCCATAAGACTACAAAAACAAGCCTTAGAATCTTAGGCGCCCTTGAGGCTTATCTCTCATTTGGCCGCATTCCTGATGAGTACCCTAGTATTAAAAAATACAACAAGCGTATTCTAGAAGTTAATATGTTAGATCGAGCTATGCACGTAGTGCATGGCAATTTTATTAATACACCCGACTTCAAGGGATAAGAGAAAAACAAGCGATAAAATTTTTAAATTCACGAAGTTTTATTTTTAGAAAGTTCTATTTTAATTTAAATTTTACAATTTTTTATGTGAATAAGTCCTACAAAAATAACAATAAATTAAGTACACAGAAAAATTATCGTCAAGGATTCCTAATTCCTCATATTTAACTATTTTAACTTTTAATTATTTAATTTCGTGCAAGAAAGAGAAAAGGTAAATAAACTTGATATTGACAATTATAATTTTTAAAATAAACGTTTAGTGCTTTAAATTTTAACTTCACTAGTTTTTTTATTATCTATAAAGAATAACAGAGTTGGTGTTTAATAATATAATATCTTTGTTCCAGATAGTTAGTTAATTCTTTCTAAACGCTTCTCTTTATAAAGTCCTTTCGAATCATAATGTTTTTTCGTTACAAAACTGTCGTAACCTCTAGCGAGGTTGACGAAACCAAGTTACTGTTTTAAAATTAAACAAATATATCTGTTACTATAATGATTTTAACATCATCCCTTAAAAATAATTTGCCATAGGAAATTTACAAAAAAGTTCTAAAAGATAAGGCTTAAAAAACCATATTTTTTTTGTAAAAATACTGAAAGATAAGGGACCAAAAAAAGAATTTTTTTGTAAAATTTTATAATAATCCAATCTAAAAAATCTGTTTGGTTTTATGAATATTAAATCTAAAAAAACTAACTAATATTAGTGCTTGACATAATTGGGGTTTAACATTATGATAGAAAAAAATATCCCGCTCCAGGCGGTTAGTCTCATGCTTTAAAACGCGTCTTCTTACTAAGTCCTTTCGGATCGTAATATCTTTTCTTTACATATCTTCCATTTTTAAGTCTCACTATATAAGAATCTTCTGAGCAGGTCTTAATTATCATACCCCGATTTAAAAATCTGTCTTTATTGTACTAATTACATCCTTTTAAATTCTCATTTTTAGCAGCTCTAACCTTTTCGTGTTTAATAAATTGTTGCCTATACCACTGCTTAAACCTCTTAGCATAACTTCCTTGGGAACTATTCTCTATCATAACTGTCCCTGTCTTATCATCTACAGCTTCTACCAGAATGCATTTTAATCCTGCATGGAAGCTTAAGTTATATTTCTCAATTGCTTCATAAACTTTGTCTGTAAATGATTCCTTCTTACTTTTTAATATTCCATCTCTTATTGTCCTAATGGTTCTATTAATCCTACCATTAATTCTGTGTGACTCTAAGCTTAGCCTCCTGCGTTCAATGCTCAATGTCTTACAAAGCTTCCTCATGTCCTTATTTCAAATACTTTGCCGTTATCGGTTACTATTTACTCTGGTTTTTTACCCTTAGTAAATATATCCTTCAAAAAAGTAATTACTTCAGATGCGTGCTTGCTTTTTATAACTTTTCTCAATAATCTTCTCGCAAAGTAATCAATCCAACTATGACAAAAAATCTTTCTTCCCTAAATTTAATTAAATCGATACCAACTTTTTTTAAATATCTTGCTATAATTATAAAATTACTGACTGCGCTCGTCCTTCTGACACGTCTCACATCTCTTTAAAGCTCTTTCTATTTAATCTTTTATTAATGGCTTATAGTTTTGTTTTCTTAACTTGTATTATACTGTAGTTTTACTTCTATAAGTTAATTCAAATGCCAATCAATAATCAATTTTTCTTTATTCTTCTCGAAATAAATCTCCCATTCTCTTCCGCTAAAAAAAGCACACATCTCTTTTTTGTCAACGTATTTAAAGTGCTTATTTCTTTTACATTCAATTTGTTTATCTTTTCTAGCCTAATTTTTTTCTTTTTCTCTTCTTCTTCGGCTGTATATAATCTACTAAGTAAATCAGCCACTACCATTTCTTCTTCCGCTATATACTCAATCTTAAAGTCGAACTCCTGAATCTTCTCAAACCATCGATTAATTGGCGCTATTTCATCATTTCCCCCTTTGTTTTTTAAACAAAATAAATGTATTTTTTAAAAAAATGATTGGCTACAAAAAATTGAAATCTAAACATTTGTATAGTCTATATAATGAAGTCCTAATTATCCTGTTTTCGCTGTTTTGAACGTTTCATTTCCTCCATTGCCACTTATTTAAAAACAAACTTGTTCAGCTTTTATTTATGCCAGCACGTTTTCGATAGGCATGCTTAAGATGTGATCACAGGTTTTTAATTTGGTTCGTATGTGCTCCTTAAGCATTAAAAACCCAACAGAGTGGTTTACCACTTCATGGCAAGATCCAAATTTAGTAACAGCCCTGGGGTAAGATGGATAACCATCAATAACAATGATAGATACGGGTACAACATGTCTAGTATAATCGGAACCTTTCTGTCAGGAACAAGCTTTAGAACAAAATTCCTACAGTTTCCCTCTTCTACACCCCTACTAACCATTGTACATTAGATTTGTTGTCTAGAATACTAGATGGGTTAGGTATTAACTCCCCATTACAGATAGCCGCTTCGTCAAACTGCACTCCAATCCTTTTCCACCTATTTTAACCATTTCTGGCTCTTGTTCAGAAATTACTTGCAAAATCAGGTCTTTGATTTTAATGTAAGTGTTCTCCGAACAATCGCAGAATTCAATGGCCTGTCTTAGGGTATAATCATATACCCAGCAATACATTTCCCTAAGAATTTTTACAAATTCTATATCCAAGATGGCCATTTTAGACCCCTTCTTTAGGCTTGGCTTTGATCTGCATGCCTTTAGAAGAGCATCTGTAAGTATACCCGTCTATATACGTAAATACGTGGCAGCCACCATAATCCTCATTTTGTTGTCACATCTCACACAATTTTTTTCATTTTTTATAAGATCAATTTATATAAAAAATTCTATTGTTTTGGCATTTTCTAGAAAAAATGCTTCACTAAATTTAAAACATAAAACTACCTCTTTTAGATTTTACATAAGAGGGGTTAAAAAATAATTCTTTTTTTACCTTTACTTCATCTTTCCATCCCCCTTCGAATAACTACGTTCACTTTAAAAAATTCTGTACGTAGTTATTCGGATGGGGTAGAAAGATGAAGTAGTGCCGGTATAACCATAACCTACTATAACATTAAACAGTTTTATGCCTGAAAAAACGTTAAAAGAACAATAAGTGAAGTAATTAATAATTACAATACATGTAAAACGTATAAGAAATCCACTAAAATACTAAGATAAACAAACCCCAATCACGGAAAATCTCCCTTTGAAAAAATTGGCATCGATATATTCGGGCCGATAGACATGAGAAACTACAAAACAACTGACGAAGACTATAAAGGAAATTTTTTGACTATAACTGATATATATACACCATTTGGTCAAATATATTATCTTAATAAACTATGATTCAAACGTAAATAAAAAAGGTAAAAAAATGGCTTTTACAATTTGGAACACCGCGGACATTAATAGCAGACAATAGCACCCAACTAGTTAGTAAAAATTTGAAAATTTTTAAAAAAACACGAGACCAAATCAGTACACACATGTTTGTACAAGCCAACGCCAAATGAAATTGTCCCAGATAATTAAGAACGAATTCAGAAATAATACAAAAAATGAGGCGTAGACTTAATTTAAATTACAAAAGATCAAAACTACATTTACTCTTCGAAAAAATATACAAATATAACTTTTGCGATCCCGTTGATAAACTATAAACAAGTTTAAAGAAAGACTGCCAGAAAAGAAAACCAAAAACGTCAACATGACAATAATTAAATCACACGATCAAGTATATGTATGATAGGGCTGTTTTATCGATCTGTAGCAGAAGAAGGTGTTGAAAGAAATGATTTATTGCATGATTTCTGTTTCTCTAAACCCATGATACCCCTTTTGGAAACATTTTCCCTAAATAGCTTTTTAATTTACTCGTGAGAGCCGTCAAACAAAATTAATATTTTTATCAGTTGATTTTGGCACTATTTAGGTGTCCCAAAATCCTTACTGTTTGTTTGATTTTATTTAATTTATTCTTTTAGACGTTTGGCGGGTTGACGGAACATTCGGATCGAGGGATTCTAATGGTCAGTGATGGTTCATCTACTGACAATAGTAAAAAAGTTTACACAAAAAAAACAGAAGAGCAATATACGAGAGACCAGTTACAGTCAGTGAAGTAGAAAAAAGGGGGAAATGGATCAAAGTAGCAAAAAAAAGGATGGAACCACGTGAAAGATATCAAATGAGGGGGTAGGATGTTGTGTTCCACAATACTAATATTATATTTAATGTCAATCTTTTTGATGCTCTCGACATATATTATAAATTTATTATAAAACTTCTTCCCCAAATAAAGGGCATGATAAAGTCGAATATGACCTTAATAAATCATTATCACGTATGTTCTATTATTGAAAGACACCTCAATCGAAAATACGTTATCGTCATTTGCACAGTAAAGCTGTAATGTTCTTTTTTTTTTACTAGTTATAAGATAGTACAGATGTAGATTTTGTTAAAAAGTATGTGAAAATCGTGTCAATTAATACTTTATTAAATATATCAGTTAGATTTTACTCGATCATATTCTTTTTCAATATTATCCACAATGTTTTTTAAAGGGGAAATAAACCAGTCTATTTCTAAAGATAAATGAATCGCAGATTTA